TCCAACGTAAAACATTGAACATCACATACTCCTGGTATCAAGTGCCTTTGGGGTCATATGATCTTACAGTTAAAGGCTTCGGTATTAAGCAGAGAGAGTTCTAGATGAGGTCATCTTGGATAGTAGTTAATATTGTCAATTTTAAGATTTTATTATGTTCTATAAGAGGGTTGACTTGACTGCCCTACAAGAGTATGATAGTTAGGTTTAGGTTTCAAGACATTTATTCTCATATAAGATTTACATCACTTCCATGAGAACATGGCTATTATTTAACTATTAAAAACATATTAACAGTTTTCATCCTCATAAAGATGGCAAAGTAATAAATGATCAATAAAGGTAACCTAATAAACAGTATAGTAAATTATCTAATAATTTCTATTCTATTTTATTAATATACATAAAAAACATTATACAATACTAACCTACGTACACCAATCCAGTATTTACTGAGAATGAAAATAACCCCATCTGTAATATTGTTACTGACGAAATATACCTATTAATATTCAAATCATTTTCTTTTAAACTGTGTGTCCTCATTATGTTAAAGTTTGTGTTTTGAAACTAACAGACGATATTACTGGAAAATCAAGAATAGTTAAAAAAATTGATCGAAATGTAAAGGTACATACGAACTATTATTTCAATAACATTTATTTATTATTGAGGATCTCCAACAAAAAATGTACCTACACAATGAAATCACTTAATACAAACAATAAGTTTTGGGCTAGTTCAGATATAGAAGGCCGCAGGCAGCAGGGGAAGCAAGCACTAAATTGTCGGGTTTAGAATAAACAAAAACATTTAGATTAAAACTAAAATATCACAATGTATATCGCAAACAAAGAAACCTCTAAAGTGGTCAAGTCTTGCGCTCTACTTTATTCCTCACCTCGTCAACACTCACACTACATGCTAACTACTGCCGCCCAAGTATGAACTACTCACACTTATCGCACTCGATCGATCCATTCTGTTAAAACGACAGACGCTAAGATACTTGACATGTTAACAGTTGTCGAGGAGACCATAAAAGCACTCGGACCGTGGAGTCCAAATTATCTACAAACGGTACGATTGACAGTTTCCTATCGCAGAGACGATATGAAACTGCAGATCCATCGTGCCCATGCTAATACATTAACTAATTATATTATTTGAAGGTAGATAATAGGTATACTTATAATACGGGGTAATGGATAGAATATCAAGACATCAAAGAGGTTTCTATTCACCACTGCAAGCGTAACAAAAAACAAACTCACATTCACGTTTATAAGTATGGAGATTAGCTATGTCGCATATTTTTGTCTGAGGTCTTATGTTTAAATACGTAAAACAGCTAGTAAATATAAATTTAAGCAAAATTTATGATGACAGTCAACATTGATACATCACACAGATTAGTAAATCGATCTACAGGAAAACTAGCAATCAATTTGGCAACAAACAAGACTACTGGTGAGAGAAAAGAGATGATATTTTTATGAAATGATTTTGGGTAAACTGCAATTCCAATTGGTTGGTTCCTGAAGTTGTTACTATAACAGGTGCATTACAAAGCTCAGTATTCTTACGTAAATTTTTAAATGTTGCTTGCACACTTGGAACTTGAACTCAAGGTTTGTCGTCAGGTTTGAAACTGAATCCTTTCGTCATCCGCGTCCACCATCTGAAGTGGACCACGAAATGAAAAAGCTGAGACTAAATCCTCTAATACCCATATATATACATTTTTGAGGGGTCATGTCAAATTATGCTACATAATGTATATCGCATCAAATCTGCAGAACACAGTAAGCAATCCGCTAATGGCCTCAGTTACCTACAGATTAACTTGAAAGTAGTAACTTGGAGCTGCCTTCAAGATTCCTTCGACGCAATTATTGTAAAGAAATAATTAGAACAAACGTTTAGTTTATTTGAAGAGAACTTTGTAACTTAAATAAATTACAGAAGTTTTAAAGAAGCGTGGGCAAAAATATTGAATATTTCATTTGCGACCTTAGAGTGACTTTGCTGGACGTGAGCATCGTAAAGTATCTGTGACTGTCTCGGTGGTACAGTGATAGCGTGAGCGACTGCTATGCTGAGGTCTCAGGTTCGATGCCCGGGTCGGACCAAATGTTTGTATGATCGGCAAATATTTGTTTCGATGTTTGGGTGTTTTCTATGTATAAAATAAAAAGTATTTAAGTACTAGCTGGTACCCGCGACTTCGTCTGCGCAGGATTAGTAAGTACTTAGAGTAGCTTATTATCTTCTCAATATCTACCTTTATACTAAAATTCATCAAAATTGGTTCTGCGGATTACTTGTGAGGGCGTAACAGACAGACAGAATTACTTTAAGAGACCGTTGTTCTATTTTGAGTAATGAATATACGTACATTAAAACTAAGTATTCTCGATAATTATCTCACAATAAAAGGTATTATAAATGCCATATTTTGTGCGGATAGATTTACGGATGTATATCATTAAATTTGAGGTAATGCTAAAGTTATAGGAAGCCACTCCAATATACTATTATAAAATATGTTAAACGATTTTTTTCGTTCAGCATAAACATTGAAAATGAAACTTTTAATGGGAACTGCAGGCGTTTAAAATTAAATGGTAAGTTATTGGGTATGATCGAGATGCATGGTATAAGAACATTGTCTCCCTTGGCTTCTCCAGTTAAGATTGTGGCCTTCACAATTCCTTCCTAGTTCGGTGACTCGCAATCGAGTACCGTTGTATATGTCTTGGCGTGTCCAAGTTACGAATTAACAAAACGGGTACACCGACCTTTATTTCTAACTTATGTGATGGCACCCCAGATGACTACAAAGAGTTTAAAAACTCCACGGGATAGCTCGTAGTGTCATCGGATGACATGACTGTGTCGATGGAATTATACACTGTTGTTTCGCTGGTTATTTGGTCTAAGATTTTTTCATTTATTTTAACAACAAAACAGTCTCATTTTTTGGTGCCAGTATGGTTCTTTCACACAACCAGTTTTCGTCGAGAATATTTTGTTACAGATACGGAAAAACTTGATCAATGAGTTCATCTTCCTACTCCACAACTTGACAAAATTGGTTTGCAAAAAGAACCATACCTTCTTGGTCCGTGTCTAGACGGCCTTCACCAATTCAATTAAATTCAGCATGCTGCCGAAGCCGTGCTTGGGACTGTTCTGGTTTCTCAGCAGCTCTGTGAGCTGCCTCACGGCTTGTCGAAACGTCTCGTTAAGTCTAGCTACTTTCACAGCTCGAGCTGAGCACCTTTAGACTTACGCTTTCGCGGCATAATTCTTAGTAGGTACTTTTTCTACACTTTCAAATAATACAGTAACCAATATATACAAAAAATGCAATACCTGCCTGTTCAATTTACATATTATTCATTCAATTTAAAATTATAGCCACATACTAATTAATATCCAAAAAACTATTCTTATTTGCTAATTGAAAATCAAAATCACGCTTCTGTAGTATTAATAATTCCATTATTATTATTAACTTATTTTATATTACCGATGTAACTACTTTATGACAATTATAAAATAAAAACGAAATAATTCGTTACTAATTGACTATTACTATAAACACCAAAATCAACTAAAAAAACAAATACCAACCTAAGTAATTAAAAGAAAAACCCTAATTCGTTAGAAGTAATAGTAAAATAATTAAATCTTATACATGTAACTGATATAAAATTCAATTTGTTACTACCTAATGAGCATTAGAAATATATTATCAATTTTAATTGTATTTATGGTTTACTGTTTTGGCGATAATAGCTTATTCATAAAAGATAGATATATGCTGTCGCGGACTTTTTGTAGGGTTAATTAAAGTAAACATTTCTCTCATACAGTATATGCGTGTAAACTCTACAGCTTTTGCAGCGTACGCCAGAATAGCTCGCAGATAGCAGATTTTTTCTGACTTACTTGACAATTATCGTTATATTTTTGATAATTCACACACTATGTTATTCTAATGTATAAGCTATATTATTGTAAACTTTCATTAAAATCCGTTCCGTAGTTTTTGCGTGAAAGAGGAACAAACATCCATGCATCTATACATCCATACATACAAACTTTCGGGTTTATAATATTAATATTATGATATATATTATTAGTAGGATAGTAGGATTCTATCAGCCAATTTAGTTCTCATAGTACAAGCTCTGCTTAGTTTGAAACTAGATGACGTTGTGTCAGAGGACCGAAATATTATTATTATTATCTGTTGAAATAAATAATGTAAAGATTGTGAAGCTTTATATAGATAGTTTTTGTAAGTAATTTATTATCATACCCAACAGCCTTTGCAAAATATTTGGATATTTCAACAAAACCTCCGTAACGCTCTGTGCTAACTAGTGGTGCAGCGGTGGTGGTGGCGGCGGCGATGGTGAATAATGTCAGTATGGATGGAAGAGCCACTTCATATTTTAAACGGAAACACCCCTTATTTAGTAGGTGAGAAAATAAGTTTGTAGGACAAATTCTGAAATTTGTAGTAAGATATATCCAAAGTTATATCAATGTAAAAGTGGCTCCTCAAACCAAACGTACACGGTCTTCAGTTCCCATCTTCGTCTATCGGCCCCTTTTCAGACATTTTAGCCTTGAACTCAAATCAATCAAAATTTTTCAATTACTTAAGTTTAAATAATTTGAAAAGGTTTCTTCAATTTATGGATTACAGATGAATTACTTACGCATTGCGATATTCGAGCAGTCATCATATTACTGATACAGGTAAATTAAGTGTATAGTAGATACTTGTAGAAACAATTGTATAAAAGAAACAGTTTTATATCAAAACCTTTATTTTCACTATTGCCGACCAACAATAATTAAGTCGTCAATTGTAAAAAAAAATCAAAATAATATAGTAAATTTCCTATTTTTGATGGTCCAAACTATTTCGAGATTATAACACTTTTTGCGTAAACATTATCTTGGCATTGTATATGTGTGCGTCAGTCGTGTGAACGCATATTTATGTCGTCGTGTCGTTCGCGCTCCGTCTCGCGGTGATCACCCGACACGCGCGCGCCTGCCGATGTGCCAGCTTCGTCGTGCTCGCGCTTCCCGGGCGAATGAGGAGCTGATGGCGCCGATTGCACTAAGCGCCCCATAAGACTTGCGCTTTTATCCTTGCGTGGTCTCGTCCACTCATGGGACAGAACTCGATCCAGAGTTAATCGCAATGTTATGTCCGGTTCCAGAATATGCCTTACAATTGACTTGGCCGCCGCTGATACTGTATCGCGAATCCTGGACCTGAACACCCAATTGCGTGACATTTGGTCCTTGAGCAGTTTGCGTAGGTTAGTGTCATCAAATGGCATAGAAGCGTTCAGCATTATAAAAAGTATGATACCGAGAGACCATACATCGGCTAGTTTAGGATTGTAAGGTGTGCCGCTCACCACCTCTGGTGCAGCATAAGCCGCGGATCCACAATAAGTTTGGCTGAGTACACGTCGGTTTTCGCCATCAGTACAAAACCTAGCAAAACCCAAATCTGCTAATTTCACGTTGAATCTTCGTGATAAGAGTATGTTTTCGCACTTCAGATCACGGTGAGCTATATTCTTGCTGTGTAGATATTGTAAGCCACTGGCCATTTGTCTAAACCACAGTTTTGCCTGATTTTCTGGCACAACTCCATTTCGTTTTATAAAATCCAGCAAATCCCCGTTGTCGGCATAACGCATAAAGATAAACACTCTCGGTCCACGTTGTAAAATACTGTGCACTTGAATGATGTGGGGGTTTTCGATCTTAGTTAGTATATCAAGCTCACGTGGAAAAAACTTTTCTAAAAAATCCCGAGGTGCTTTTTCCTTATCGAATATTTTGCACGCGAGGTGCATCCGCTTCGGGCTGGACGCATCGCAGTACTCAGCTAGATGGACGGTTGCATATGATCCTTGTCCGATTTTCTTGCCGATGAGATAGCCTCGTTGTTCCAAGGCATTCACCTCGGAGCTTCGAGGGCTGAGGCGCTCAGCCATTGAGCTCTATCGACTTTATCCTAACCCGTTTAGGATACATTGGACATCTCACTACTCACGTATGCCCAAGGTTTCAGTCGCCCACCTGTCAAAATGTTAGAGTTTCGATTGATATGAGCTTTCCGCACAACTCTCATCAAAGAGAGTAAATCGATGTTATTCTAATAATACTTCAATGGCACGCACAAAATTTTGTTAAAACATTTCATCACAAAGAATTTGGATATAAAAAACGCTTTCACTAGTAAGAAATCTTCCAAAAAGACGTAATTGCTACATGGATGACTTTTTTCTTTTGTTTCTAAAATTAAAATGATGTTTTTTTCAGAAAAGCCTGTCCTAAATATCATTAAAAAGATTCTATATTGCTAAATAATAATCTATGTTTAGGTCTATACAAATTTGTTCCAGTCTACAATCGTAATTAATATGTCTTCAAACTATCATTTACGTAGCACGAATGAATTAAAAAACTGTGTTTAACTTAGGCAGGCAGTAACTAGAAATCTACAAGCTTTGTTGGTTACTATCGAAATCGAATCGAAAGAGTCCTAGTCCTAACTTAATAGTAACAAGAGATTTAAAAATACACAATATGTTATATCATGTAAGTTCTCAATCAACCAGAATTTTACACTTACATAGGCACATAGTTATATCGACACTTGTATTAAAGGTTTTGTCAATAGCATATTAAACACCCGCAACCTTTTGCCAACTATAATAATTTTCACCACATACGTAATTTTCCCAAATCTCATAATCAGAGGTAAAAAAGAGTGAAGCAACATAGGGAATGTTAATGTTAAATTAATATGCTGTAATGTTAAATACAATTTGTAAGTTACCTAAGTATCTTACAAATTTTACCCTAAAATAATGTAAGTAAAGTATATGACGGCCGGTTGTACCTATATAAGATTTCTGATTCTTTTCGACTCATTGCTCGACTGCAGATGACTTCTGCCAGATGTCGTACGGCGCCGGGTTGCTAGCGCAAGTGTGAAAATGATATGGCGAGTGCTTAGAAGAAGATCTAGATTCATAATCATACCTATCTATGTTGGTGTTACAGACACGAAAATAATTACTTAAATATCCTTTTTGTCGTGTCAATTAATTAGAGGAATGACGTAGATGAGGAAAGTTTTCAAAGGAAAAAAAATATTTCTCAAGTTAATCGACAATAAATCATAATCAAAAATTGTTTGAGTTCCTAACAATCCATCCTACTAATGTAGGGATATGGGAAAGTAGTAGAAGTAGCAGTAATTGACCCACAGGCTTCTGAGTGACAGTAACTGTCACTCAGGCACCTGTGGGTCAATTACTTTTAAATCTAAACCACTGTAAAACTTTGGTATGAAGGTAGTAAAGACCTTGACCAAGGATATAGACTACTTTTTATCTTGAAAGAAACGGAAAGTGGAAAAATAGATGATCAAAGTTTGTATGAGATACCAATCATTTATCAGGCTTAGTATATTTAAAACATACCTACATAAAAATCACATATCTGATAAAAAATAATGTTTCTGTGATTTTCCCACAAATTTCCAGTTTATATATGGATACAGATAGAATCGAATTTTGCTCCGAAAGTAGACTTCATCGTGATAATATGTTAATATTATAGGACATTTTTTAGATGTATGATAATAGTGGGTCCAGTCTATACATTTGTCTATGGTCTAATGAAAACGGTGGAAACGAAATAGAAGACAAGTATTTTACTGTTCGTAGTACAAGTACTTCAGAAAACGCATGTTGAGTACAAAACTCGGGGCAATGAGCACGAATCCTTGTCAGAACACCGTGTGGTTTTGATCAGCTAGAGTTCTACCTTTTCACTTTGCTTTAGAGGTTTCCACATATCAAATAAAGATGTACATTTATAGAAATGACATGTCGTTGGGCATCGAGAGTATTAAATCCATAAAATATAGAAAAACTTTTATAAATTTGATATTCTTTAGATACCACAATTATTGTACTTTAATGTCTGATCCGGGCAATAAAAACCAAAATTTGCCTTTTTTATGTTAAATAACTCATGACTGCATTGACTTAACTAATTCCGGTAGATTATCAATTACTTCTTTTTCAACATCTAAAAGGACTTGACTTGACGTGGAGCACTATAGCAAAAATATTACACTAAAATTAGGGTTTTGGTTTATTAAGTTATTTTTTATCTTTATTAGAATAAAGATAAAAAATAACTTAATAAAAAATTGCAAAAAAAAAAATTAATAACAAATCAAATAGATTTCACGCTTGACTTTAACGAGAATAAACGACGAAGCCGATTAACGACAAAACCGTTTAAAGTTATTCTGAAAATATTTTCGGAAGAACCTAAATACCCAATTAGTATATTTATTTATTTATTTTAAACTTAATGCACATATTGTACAAAGGCGGACTTAATGCCATTAGGCATTCTCTCCCAGTCAACCTTCAGGTGATGTAGAAATATGATGCGGTAGGTGCAAAATAAAATATGATATTAACATAATTTAGGTCCAGAAACATACACAATATAAAAACACACATGCATACATAAACCTACATAAATTTAATAAAATATATAAATACGCAGTCGGGAGCAGTTCGCCAATTGACCCCGAAGAAGATCGCGCACTTTTCTCTTGAATGCATTCAATTCAAAACATTCAAAGGCGATTTGTTGACATCCTGATTTCGGCAGGGAGGGCATTCCAGAGGAGAACTGACTGGACGTAGAAGGAGGAGTTGATGAAGATAGAGGTGTGAGGGGGGCATAGAAGAAGTATATTGTTGGTTGACCGAAGATTTCGATCGTGATTGGAGCATAGGAAACGGAAGTGGGGTACGAGGTATTCAGGTAACGATAGAGAGTTGAGGAAAGAAAAGAGAGAAGTCAGTGCTCGTAAACTGCAGCGCTGACGAATTGGGAGCCATTGCAGCTGGGAACGTAAAGCAGACACATAGTCATACTTGCGAAGATTGAAAACGAATCGAATGCAGTTATTGAGAAGGCGATCTAGTTTATTGAGAAGGTCTGCATTCAGGTCGAAATAACACACATCACCATAGTCGATTATGGGAATAATTAAGGACTGCATAAGCGTAGCCTTAGTTTTAGCGGGAAGGAAGTTTTTCAATCGATATAAGGCACGGAGACATGTGATGACTTTCTGGGCGACGTGTGTAACCTGTGCCTGCCAGTAAAGTCTCGAGTCAATATATAACCCCAGGTTCTTTACCACTGCACTATAAGGTATAGTCACATTGTTGTAGACAACTGGTGGGATGACCGCCATATCCAACCTAAGTAGGTTGGATATGGCGTCATTTGCATATTGAAGTCAAAAATCTTCGAAGTTAAATACATGTCTTGAAGATTTAAATTTTGTTTCGTTCTATGTCGATAGTAGGTCTCTTATTTTGGTTGTAAAATGTTTGGCATTTTTTTAAACTTTCTTTTAGTCTGGCAATTATATGTCCTTTTCGTATAAAACAAAAGCTAGACGGGAATTTGAACTGAAAGGGCGGAAGATTTTAGGCAGTTCAAATTCCCGCCTAGAATCTCAAAAATTAAGACTTGGCTTAAAAGTCTTGTTACCAGGCCATAAAAATACAAATAATAAGTATAAAACAAACGTCAGTGTCATTTAAATGTCATCTCGGTTTGTCAATCAGGGTTTTGTGAGAAATATTTTAGGAAAGCAGTGTCACTATCCAAAGTAGGCGATTTACCAGTTTATAATCCTTTTTATGTTGAAAATACATAATGTTTATATAGTTCCCTTTCTGAGACAAAAAAAAGACTTCCAAGATGATGAACCAATACATGAAGGAATTGGAACAAGTAACTTTTGAACGAAACTTGAATGAAAATAGGAAAAAATAAAATAACATTTTGTAATTTTGTTGTTTTTAAATTATAGGACCCATTTGATCCTGATGAGTTCGTTGAAAGGATGGTGAGGCGCAGTATGCAGGAGTCCCGTTTGAAAGACGATCAGTTTGATCCTGAAATGATACATGATATCTTTACACAAGCCATTCAAGATCTAAAGGTATCATCCTCAATTTTTTTTATTAATGTGGAATATAATAATAATTTCACACATCTCACACACTGCTGTCTGATTCCAAACTAGGCAGATCCTGTACAATGGCAATGAGACTGTTGATAAAATATTTATCTATTTTTAGATACATAAACTTTTACATAAATAACAGAATCATTTGGAATCATTTGTCCTGGTTGAAAATCGAACTCACAAAATATTAGATAACCATCTGTTAGTTGTTTCATTGTGTAGGTATAATTATTAATCATAATTTTATTTTTAATTTATACTAACTTCTATAAAAAAAAACGGAGATATTTAATGCAGATAAAAGAAGAAGAACAAGGTCTTGACAGTCCTAATGCGATATTGTTTTTAGTAATAGTAACATGAGTATTTTAATACTGTTACCACTTTTTTGTTTTATCTATTTTTGTCTAGTTACATTTATTACATGCTTATATCTTACAAGGTCTCTATTTTGCTGACTTATTGTTCATATTTAACAAACAGGTTCTGCAGGAGAGACAGGAGAGAAAGTGTACTAGACTTGAACAAGCTGTGCAGGAAGAAGAAAAATTATATGCAGCAAAGTTAGCTGAAATCATGGACCAACATACTGTATGTTATAACAAAACATTTTAAAATAGACTTAGAAGTATTAAGTTTAGGATTTAAAGGCAAAAAGTTGGGTTGTGCATGTGCAGTACATATTTAACTAGCAACCTGATCCATCTTCCCACGGGCTAAATGTATGAAATCACATTACAAATCTTTGCAATTCTCAGATATTTCCTACTATAATATGCAAGTACAAATTTCCAACCCCCAATTTGGAACATTTAGGTGTAGAATTTTTTAAAGCCTTCCTTAGTGCACACCTACGTCTCCTACGGAACATTTCAAATTTCTTGCTTGTAGACCCAGCGGTTTCAGCTGTGTTGATTGATCAGTCAGTGAATCTGTCTGTCAATTTCTTCTTTCATAGATATAGATGTATTTAATTTAAAGACAATAATTTAAATCCGGTTTATATGGATGCCAAGAAAATTTTGTAAGTAAGTAGTAACATTGTTAAACATGACTTTAAAATATTTTTTTTTCGATTAAAATAAAACTCTTTTATTAGAACTTTATGATTCTATACATTACAGCATTGTGTTGGGGTATTCAGCGCATTAGATGAGCGTATGTCTCGGTGTGGTGGAAGAGCTCTGGACGTGGGTGAAAAGCTTGGTGCCGCACGTGCGCCACGGGCCAGAGCAGCTGCTGCTAGGGATCTTCTATCACATCTCTCGCACTTTTTAAGTCCTGGACCTGTGCTTATTGAATTATTCAATGATCCCAATAAGGTTTGTTATAATAATAATAATATTATGAATTACTTGTGCATACTATTAGGTATTCACAGATTTATAGCTAATCATACATAGACATAATCTAGAATTACTCATATGGGTTCAAAATTTTATTTTTACCTTTACCTGCTCATAAGTATAAAAATGCTAATGGAGCTAGATAAAATGATATAAATGTAAAATATTTGTAGCAAAGAGGTGGTAAACATGCAGAAGAGAACATGATCAGGTAGCTCCCAACATCATTAAATGATAATTACATTTCTTCAACATTTCAGTTGCATGAAGCTGCTGATATTATACAAAAGCTTCACACCATTGCCCAAGAATTACCTCCCGACAAGTTTGAAGTTGCCAAAAGAAGATAGAAGCTAAATATGATGAGATTGAGAGGAACCTTATTGATGAGTTTGTCAAAGCTCAAAATCAAGGCAACATGGCGACTATGAAGGAAATTGCAAACATCATGACCAATTTTAAAGGATACTCTCAGTGTGTTGATGCCTTTATTGAAACTAGTCAAATGGCAAGTGCAATGGCTTTATTACTTTAGACTAGGTAGACTATTCACTGGCTAGTTACAAAATACAACTACTTAAATTAAAATATCTAAGTTCTAGAGGTGATTAAAGTCTTGAAACACATAATTTAAGTTCTACTTACTTACTACTAAAATTTAAGCAAAAACAATCGAAAAGAATTTAAAAGTTGGTTTAATTAGATGGCATAATTGTTACGTCTACTTTGGTTTATTCTTAAATACAAAGGAAAAATCTATTTAATAAAACTATGGCCTTGAAAAATTAAATCTTTTGGAATACAACTGATTCAAATTCAAAATATTAAAAAATCTACTCATTTTAATTAGTTTGGAGTAGGAGTCTTTGGTATTTTATACGCATTTTGTTTTTACAGAACACTCTTTTAGGGAAGGACATTTTTTCAGCAGTGTTACCACTCTGCAAGAAAAACTACACAATTATTAGCAACGTTTTTCCCAACCCTGACCAGGTGATGAGTAAATTTGTGCTTAATATCTTTCTTCTGAAGCTTCAGAAGTATATCCAGACTAAACTAGCTGACAAGAATGATGTTGACAAGTATTTGAAGAATTTATATGAGATGTATACTAGGTACTTATTTTTATTAATTTCTAGTACTGTGATTTTATTTTTTCCTTCAGCATTCTAACCACAGCAAACAAGGCAAGATCACCTACCTAAATATAGGTAATCATTTAGCTTGTGCATAGAATTAAACCATAGGAGGGTATGATAATCTTTCTCATTTCGTTTTACTTAAGCATTTACGTATTATTAAATATATATTTTTCTTTTCGCTGCATGATTATTTTTTAACTTACTGCAGTCTTGCTAACTCTTAAAATTTCTTTTTACACTGAAATGTGTTCATGGGTGGCGATAGTCACTTTCCATCAGGTGATTCGTCTGCTCGTCTGGTCCCTCTAACATTAATAAAAACATAAAACACCCTTAACTTCCTCAGCCAGTGTCGGAATCCTAGGCATCGTCATATCGAGCGAAGTCCAGTTTCAATTTATAAACCATAAGAAAAAGGTTCCCTTTTATATGTCTTTGACGGTCATCCGTGTGGTGAAGAATAAAGAATACCGACTGTCGTCACACGGTGTGACGACAGTCCGTATTCTTTCCCGTAGGTGTCTTAAGAGCCCACTAAGGGAACAAACTACGCAGTACAACAGCACTGCAAAGAGGAAGGTCAGTCAAGTTTTACACAAACTCTATACCAACCTGTCTAGCAAGTGTGATATAGTAGGCCAAACCTCCTTTTTAAGGAGGGGCTTATATCCAGCAGTGGACTAATAATAGTTGGTGACCGGTTATTAATAAGTAAAATGGACTAATTAGGTATATCTATACCTCAAGATTGCCAACCAAATGAAATGATTAAGTTATCATCTCTCTAAATGATATATTACAATTTATATTATAATCTTACCTTCTAGTACTCAACGTGTTTGCGACGAGTTAGTTCAAGCTGGTCTGGTATCAGCGGAAGGTAATTCCACTTCGGGGGAACTTCGAAGGGATGCGCTCGTCAATGGGGCTATGGCGGGTGCCAACGATGGATACACCTCTATGGAAGCTAGGAGACTTAAAGCTGTACTGTCTAGCTCACTAAACGCATACTACACTGAAAAGCAACATGTTAAGAAGCAAATACAGGGAGGCGGGTATGTTAGTTAATAATAATAGTTTTAATAGGGAATATGCATGTATTTTTTTTATTTTTTTAAGCGAATCTTCTCGTTATTACATTACCAAAAATAAATATAACACATCCGAAATATAAACCGTTGGGGCAATTTGAACACGCTCATTTTGGCGCGCTTTTTTTGTGACGTCAGATTACACTTTCAGACGAATTCGATGTCAACAACGGAGTGAAGTTCACAAATTTTTTGAAAGTTAAAAAAGTGAGTGATATAAATTAACTTATTACCATGGAAAAGCCAATAAAAACTTATTATAAATATTGTGCCGTTCCTTTGTGCCAAAATAATATCAAAACTGCACCTGACAAAGTATATTCAGTCATTGTGTTGAGTCTTTGTACACGGGAATTTAAAAATTTAACACTGAAAACGTATTAGTTATTAACTTAAAATGAAACAAATAATCACCAGAAACCAAATATTACACATACACACAACTTGTTGACACTCTTGACAGTGTAGGTTGACGTCACGTTTTATTCAACCAATAGCGTAGCGTTTTAAAAATTTGCGAGGGAATCTTAAAAAAGCCAATTTTTGATGATTAAATTTCACTACTAAATTGTAATAAATTTCAAAAATAATTGTATGGGTATCTTTTTTTAGCAATAAAAATTACAAATAAAAATATTTTGTCCATTTTGGTGTCACGTGCATATTCCCTATTAATTAAAATGAGAAATTCTTCTTTAGATACATTTATTTTTGAGCTTTAAAAATTTATTACGTTTTTTATGGTATAATTATTACGAGTATATTCTTGGAAAGGACTGTATATATTTGGATACATTTTTGTATTTAGATTAGCCTTGGGTTAATATACATTAGTTAATCAATGTTTAATATGTAAAAATGCATGGAGCCTTTGTGCAGTGACTTTTTTCAGGGTTATGTACCTAAGGGTTTAACATTGACTATTAAATACTAGAATATTAAAAAAAAAACAAAACTGCAATAAAGAAATAGCTCAAGTATATACATGATGTAACTAAAATGAAACTTTTCGTGAATTACTTGCAGTGACTTTATTTTATATTCAAATTATACTTATCTACTCTAATGAAATGAAATTTAAATATAAATCGTGTTAGTAGTATTTTATCATACAATTGATTGAAAAAATGTACAAGTAAATATTAGTTCCTTTAGTCAGGCTTGTTGGCTTAATCCGGGGATTTCCACTCTATTTTGGAGCCTAATTACTAGCGCTTATCTATTCGTTGAGTTTTTTAAAAATACAACAATTATACTTGCTACTAAAATATTAGTCATTCTTCTAACAAGTTGGTACACGTAATACAACTAATACAGTATCTTGAAATGAAACTTTCAGAACTTGTGTTTAATAATATGGTCGATTTTTAGACCTCGCTGACCCCCAAAATCAATTTTCGACCATCGACCCCTAGGAAAGCGATTTCTATCGACCACTTTGGGAAACCCTTATTTAGTCGTTAGGGACTCTGACTGCTAAGCCAAAAGTCGCTGGTTCTATCCCAGCTCAGGACAAATATTGTGGTGACATAAGCGCCATGAAATATATCTTTCTTTTTTATCATATATCTGTATAATATGACATTGACAATTACTAATTTTTAAAACTTTAGAAATAATGCTTGGCTTAATTAATTACGTAAAATGAAATATACTTATCACGAAACTATATAAATGTTCGTTATCATCATCATCACCACCATCTGTCTTTTCATATAGGCATGTGATATACAAACTATTTTGACAAATGTACCGTTTATACTTTACAGTTTCCAAGAATTGCGTCGTGATTTGCAAGCTGTCATCGGTACTCGAGCAAATATCAACATTGCTCAAATAGAGAACTATGGCGGTGAGACGTTTTTAAGTGAACAGCTTGTCCAGAAGATGATCAATGACTCCAAAACTTCGTTCATCCGATGTAAGACTGTAAGTGAATAGAATGCATTTTTTTTTGTATTTTTTTATCTTTATTAACCAATAAAACCTCTTGATTTAGCAGTGGTTTCTCGGGTAATTTACTGGGTATGGTTTGTTTCGGTACTTGTAGTAAATGTCAACTTATATTATATGTAACAAGTACATGTTTTTATCATTACAGCTATGTACTACAAACGAGGTTTCTAATACAACAGTGGCTTTGCTCGAAATACTGATACAACATTTGCTCGTTGAGCATGTTGATTATGCTTTAGATCTGGGACTGCAATCCATACCGATCGCAGAGAGCAAGTCACCGCCACAGGTAAATTATTCTAAATTTTTACTTAAATTACATGCAGACAGACAACAATATCTGCGACAAAGTCTAAATAATATACTAAATATGAGTTAGTAACATAATAAGAATAAATAGTTTAAGCGTGACGTTTCCACGCCTTAATTCAGTCTTGGAATTTGCCAGTCATAATGACAGAGGTACAGATCAAAACATATGGGATTTTCAGTCAGGTAAAAGCATGATTTCGATGTATCCATTGATTTCAATCAATTACTTCGGGTACTCCTCAATTAAGGAAAGCAAAGGTCTGCTGCTGTTCAAAAACCTTAGGCTTACGAGTGCCTTACGATATATATCTCTAACATATATAAAACTACCTCTTTTTTCGCATTTTTATGTCTTCAAAAAGGCGACGATTTCAGGGTTTATGTATGCATGCCAGTTTCTTTATTTCTCTTTCACTTCTGAATGCCTGATCTGATTTGGATATATCATTAAAAACTCACCCACTCTAGGAATATATCCTGTGTCGGGGGACTTTACAAACATACATGAAACAAATACAAAGAACACTTAGACTCAGAACAACAATTTGTGAACTACACAAAGTGTTGTCCCATGTGGAGATCGCACCCATAACTGTAAGAAGTTGTGCGGTGACCGCTTAAACCACTACACCATCCGTGCAGTCAACATTGACAGTTTTCAACATTTAACAAGTCAACATTTTTGTAAATTTTAATAAAGTAATATGGTTGTGTAGCACTAATGTTTTTTGCCAACTTATTCGTCATAGTAATGCGATGATATTTATTTCAGATTTACTTCTTTGATATAGTAAATCAAGCCAACAAAATCATAAGAATGTTTGAGGAACACTTTCAGGAATCAGTGTCGCCTTGTATGACGTGAGTATTCAATACTTTTTCATTATATTTGTATAGATTTTATTTCTCAAAACTTTAACATATCGACGGCATAAAGCGAAAATCTTGAATTAGTTCTTTTTTAAGTTTTTAAATTTTTTCGTCATAGGACTACAAAACATAGCCATTCGGCTAGGCGTTTTCTGATTGATAACATACTAAGGTAAGTTTTACATGTAGGCTAAATTTCTGGATACGAAATATTCGCTTTTTACCGTCGACACGTGGATGAAGAGGATTCTAAAAAAAAAAAATATGAAAGCAATCCTTATATAGTATAGCAGTACCTATAATACCAGCAAAAGTAATAAAGAAATGCATCATAGTTATGTCGATATTTTGGATCTCACACGAATTTTACTAATAGTATTCTATGTTTTTAAACGCAACTCCCGCACTAGGAATATATCCTGTGTTGCGGGGGACGTTACAAACATACATGAAACTGACGTAAAGAACACCCAGACTCAGAACGACGATTTGTGGATCACACAAAGTGTCGTTCCATCTGGAGATCAAACCCACAGCACTCAGCATAATAGGAAGCTGCGTGGCGATCGCTTGAAACACTATGCCATCCGTGCAAGAATAAGGTGATTTCCTTTTAAATATTAAAACATTTTCAGGTCGGCATCGAAACAAAATGAGTGTGTGCAGCGTAAAAAATCTATAATGGATCAACTTGAGAATAAGTTGGATGCAGGTTTAGAGCGAGCTATCGCAGCTATCGTCGGTTGGGTCAAACTCCATTTGCAGACCGAGCAGAAGAAGACCGACTTTAAACCTGAAGGAGATATCGATACTATTGCGTCGTCGGTAAACACATGTTCAATCTTAGTTTCTTTTATATCTATGAAATGGAGGAGAGTCAATAAGTCGTAAGAATAGAGTTACAAGTTTAATCCTGACGGTCGACTTTGGACAGCTTTAAATTTCTTGTTTCATTAAATTAACCATTAATACTAGATAACCATGATTATTGTTCTATAGTACTTACCTAAGTTTTGTGAAGGCTTTAATACACATTTTATAACTGTACATCTCATAATGTTTAACAATTTCAGCTCTCTGTATTTCATTTACATATTAACTTAAGTATTCTAAATTTCACATTTCTGCCTTTGCATCCTTGTTTATGTGTATGTTTTATCTTTATTTAAGTCAAGACATAACGTATATCTTTTTTTGTTGACGGGGTGGAATATCCCTTTGGATCTCCTGCTCCTCGGGGACATAACGTCTATCTTGTATCTATAAAAAAAATCAGGATATGTGACGTTCCTAGGCATGCTTGGCGGTGGTTTCGTACCTGAATAATGTGATGGACAAAATACACGGGGGACTGGAGGGCGACAACCTCCACGCAGTTACACTGGAACTCGCCGTCAGATTGCATAGGATTATATACGAACATCTGCATAGTTATCAATTTAATTCTGCTGGTGAGTTTTCTTTTTTATTTGGTTTTTAGACGCATTATTCTTTTAAATACAACATTAAATTTTAAATTGTTTGAACAATTTTATATTAAATTCTGTATTCAGTAAATCTTTTATCTTGTATTTCTTTTATAAATTCATAAGTTACGCTATCTTTGTCATCACCCGCAAACAGTCGGGTAAAAGTAACTTCAACTGTTCCACATAAAATGCAGAAGCTGTTTGCTTTTTCAGAGGGCTAGGTAGAAATGTACCGAAATTTCGTCCCACTCATTAATAGCAGGCAAGATTGCAGTTAACTAAGCACTTTTTGATAAAAAAGTACATCAGAGTATATCGATTTAAAATGTAAAATAAGTGTCAGCCAGTAGTTTGAACAAGTCAACTGATCATTGCCGTTTAAGCCGAGTCCGCTAACATAATTAATTTTGATACATATATTGTATCAATCGTAATAATAGTCGTGTCTCTCAATAGTAATAAATTTTCTCCGTTTTTGAAACATTCTTCATTGGTGCTCCGCTCCTATTGGTCTTAGCGTGATGATATATAGCCTATAGCCTTCCTCGATAAATGGGCTATCTAACACGTGATGATATATAGCCTATAGCCTTCCTCGATAAATGGGCTATCTAACACTGAAAGAATTTTTCAAATCGGACCAGTAGTTCCTGTGATTAACGCGTTCAAACAAACAAACAAACTCTTCAGCTTTATAATATTAGTATAGATTGATGGTTTGTATAGCAGTTAGTAAGTGTGGAAGTGTATTATGTGTAGGTGCGATGATAGCGATCTGCGACGTGAAGGAGTACCGCTCGGCGGTGTGCGGGCGCGGCGCGCGCGCGGCCCCGGCGCCTGCGCACGCGCTCTTCGACGCTCTGCACGCGCTCTGCAACCTGCTGCTCGTCAAGCCGGAGAACTTGCATCAGGTCTGCGAAGGTGAAACACTCGTAAGTACATACATACGTGAAACCTTTTACGATTCGGAGTAGGCTAAGACGACTGCTGACCGCCATATACTTCTGTCCCTGAAATCCTAAGTGCTTCCCATTTTCCTCGTCTTTCATTAAAGTAATAATAATAAGTTTACATATCGCCGTATGTACTGCTGGTGAAACCTGTTGTTCCCACTACCGTTAGCCTTATACACTTCAATTCAAACTCATTCTTTCTATGTATCCGATCAACCTCAACGTTTTTAAATATTTAAATCGCAATCCATTTTAAAATAAATGAGAAGGGAGGAAGAAAGGTGCAAGTGGAGGACGAAAATAATAAACAAAAGAAAGAAAAATGAAAATGAACAAAAGAAGAAGCTTTTACTTCTGCAAGCTTCTGCAAGCTTCTGAAGCAAGGAGAAATTCCTCACCGGTCAAGCCTGATAATATAATATCCTTTCGACCGCCATCGCAACTGTGTTTCGCAACCAAGTTGTTCACGAAGATTTTTAAGTCTCATGGCAACTAGATGTGATAGAATAACATCTATTCTTGATACGCAACTAATCACTACATTTCTATTCTTTACATTCTATTTTTATTCTACATTAATAATTAAAACCTCTACAAAGTTTTGAAGAGAATATTACAATTCCTGACATTCCCATTTCCTAATTTGGTCTGTATTTGAGTTCTAATTTTAATATTTGCAATACAACAATTAGAGGGACAAGAAATTACGGTTGGGCATTACCTGGAAATAAAAACCCCTTTCTCCATAACATTTTAGTTGGTTTAAAAAATTTTAGTTACAGAAGTTGTTTAAGATTTTTTAAATTATTATTATCTTCACAAACTGTCACATTTATAATATTAGTAAGTTCTGTTTGGGGTCACAACGAGCTGTTTAAGCTAAAACATCCTCGTGGACAACTAGCTGCGAAACACAGTTGCGATAGCGGCCGAAAACAAGCCGAGCAAATACAAAGAGGTGAGGGCATAAGCAACTATGCACTGGGATTCTAAGTAGGTCCTGACGTCATCACAGTGGGCGTGGCTTAAAATTAGTACACTCACCGTCCGTACTGTGTGCTTGTGTCGCAATATCTCAAATCTGTATATTTTCGTGGTATTAAGAAGAAAAGAATGCAATTTTGTATTTTATCGTGTTATAATAATTCGGATAGACGTTTTGTTTAAGTAATTTTTATACTTGTTTTTAAAATAGTTCTGGAAAAATCTCTTACTGTTTTTTGAAATATAGTTTCTTCTATTCGTCACTAGATAACTAAACTTTGCGTAATTTAAACTGAAAATACAAAGGTACGTAATGCTTAGTTTTAGTCAGATAAAAAATTTGTTCTGCATTTAGTCCTAAAGAATTCCAAAACAACCTATTTAATTTTTTAGTAATCATTTTGTAAACAGACTGTCATCGATCGTCAACTAGAAAAACATACACTAACTGAACAAAATGACAGGACCGAAATTGAAATCCAATGTTAATCCAATGAAGTACTTATAATTTGATAATGAAGGAAATTCTAATTTAGGAAATTTTTAAATTATAAGTGACATTCTTATTGAAAAAAAAAACAATTCCTAAAATTGGAATATGTTTAGAATTTCGTAAAAGTCTACCCAAGAAGTAGTCATTTATGAGTTATATCCACATGCAAATACAAAAAGGAGGTGTTGTAATCAGATTTCTCATAAATACAGACAAAATAAGAATAAGTATGGAAACAAATTTCAATCATTATTCGTGAAATCGTTAAGTATAAACGTTTGTAGTAATACAAACTTTTTTATTCTCACACCAGCAATACCCAGCGCCTATAAGTCCAGGTAATAATTTATCTGTACACCACATTTTATCCAAATCCATCCAGCCGTTTCAGTATGAAAAATAACATATACACAGTAGTCAACGAGAAACAACACATATACTTTTGCTTTTATAATATTAGGGAGGTTAGTACGAATATAATATAAGTAAGTTTTTGCAATAGGTGTAAGTAAGAAAATGGTACAGAAAATTAATCTAAAAAAAAGTCACTGGTATAAAAATTCTGAGTACGTCCCTTACATCCTACACTTAGTGTGAGATAGCTGAACTAAATAGCAACATCGACATAGAACGATGCGAGTAGTTCTGCTATTATTTGATAGATGGAAAGGAAAAGTGAAGTGGGCGGAGCCTACACCCAATCACGCGTTGTTTCATAGCAAAAATCTAATTACAATAACTCCTTGGTGTATTTGCTCCGTGATGCCAAATCATGACTCCCACGGTTCATTCTACATATAAACATCATCATCAATTTAAATACTATTTTTTGTTACAGGCGGAACTGGACCATTCCATACTCCACAGCTTCATACAACTGCGGGCCGACTACAAGAGCCACAAACTTTCCACCTTCCTGAAAGGATTATAGTAATTTAAAAAAAAACGTACTCAATTATAATATACTGTTTACATATCTAGGTAATATTGCTTTGTATATTAGTATAGAAATCATTTAATACATTAAAAGTATTAAAACATATTTTAAATATCTCTATAACTTATATTTATTAATTATATTTGTTGAGTTAAGCTGTATAAATTATAGAATATATTTTTGTAGAACCACTTAACTGTAGTTTTCTATTAAACAATATGTATGTATGTGTGCTTTAAGATTTATGACTGTAGTTAACGAATTAAACAACCATTTTGAATTTTAAATATTTATATACATACTCAACAGAAGGTATCCCTTGGCAAGGTTTAGAAGAATTAAACGTATTCGTAAATAATACTAAGAATATTGTCAGAGACTATCATTGATAGTAAGTGTATAAACTAACAATTAAGCTAACAATACAACTACAAACTGATCAGCTAGTTAGTATCACGTCGTATTAACACAAGAGTAAAAATAAACAAGCTCTATAGAGAGACTAGTTGACTGAGTTATCAGAATAACAATTTAGGAGTGTCTTTATGATTTACTAGCTTTTGCCCGCGGCACCGTCCGCTTGTATGTAAAAAGTAAAAAAAGTAGCCTTTATCTTTCCTCAAGAATCAAGTCTCTCCATGCCAAATCGATTTAGCGGTTTTGGATTTCCCAAACAAAATTCCGCCTTTTCACCCCCTTAAAGGGTGATTTCTGGAATAAAACCTATCCTATGTCCTTTCCCAAATTCATCTAAATCGTTTCAGCGGTTTATGCGCGAAGAGGTAACATACAGAAAACAGACTTACACACACTTACACATTTGTAATATGAGTATGGATACTTTATTATACTTGTACTATTATATAGCATGTATAAGATATGTGTATGCATTTATAGGATATTTTTATAACATATATTCAATTTAGCCTCATATATTACGAGTTTCACATTTCACCTGCCATACAGCTCTCTAACGCCTAAAGTTTGATTCGAGGAAAATGCCCATGTGCCATATTTTTGCAGGTAGTTTAAATGAAGAAATAAATAAAAAAACGGAACAGTGATGAAGTTTGATACAACTGCGCTACAAACAATATACAATAGTTACATTATTACAAACTTGAGGCCCATGTGTGAGTGAATACTGGTGGCTTTGTCGTGTACGGCAACTAACTGGTTTGTACCGGCTCGTCCAGCGTTCACACTGCTCAGTATGAATGAAATACTACAACATTAAAGTCCATCTAATCTAAGTTTGAATGTTCACACTTTACAAGACAAAACAACTTTGTATAGGCGTAGGTAACTCACACAATTTTAATAAATTTTCCGTAAATCATGGATTTATGAAGCAAATTTTATTTTGTCACAATATGTACAATTCTTTACATAACAACACAACACACAATAACATTTTTTAAAATTTAAATATTTTAATCAAAGCACAACACCCAATATACATGAACTGTCAAACGCTACCTCTTAGATGAAATGGGCTATAGTAGTAAACAATAAAATAGTATTTTCCTATATAAAAAAGTGATGCTCGACATGTGGAGGGCGTTCAACAGGGTGAGGCACGAAGGCCTCATCCACAAACAATCGATAGCCACATTGCTGCGTTGAGTGATTGCAGTCATCGCATCGTTCCTCTCACAAAGGATCTTCCAAACATTGACTGAGAAAACCAATCCGACCGGATATCGACAAGGGAGCTGCTTTCTGCCACCCTTATACGCCTAATTAGCTAGTCATTTCTGAAACCATGGAAGACTGCAGCACAATGCACGATGACCTTATTAAGGTCTCTAAACGAGTGGGTCTTAAAATTAACATGGATAAGACGAAAATTATGTCGATAAATTAAAACCACCTCGGGGCGTCAACACACCGGGGTTTTGCGGCAGGGTGGTGTCGGAATCGGACCGACTAAAACCACACAGTGTGCCACTCTGCGCCTCCAATAGGAGGGGTCCGGCAACTGCTGTTATTAAGACACCCGGATCCCTCCTAGCGCCTGTCCGCAACGGCGCGGGCGCCACCTTCAGGTACATTCTCTATTTAGGCGGGCGGAGGAGAAAACCCGTCCCGGCCACCCGCGGTCCACACTCAGGGCGACATGAGGCGGTGGTAAGCGCGCCTCCGCCGCCCGGTTCGCCGGCGACGAGTTCAGGTCGTCCTCTAGGGCCCTATCCGCCGCCTCCTTCTTCGAGATGACGTCTTCGCAGAAGGATGCGACTGCGGTGAAACATCTGTCACTACCGGCCATGCAGCGTATGACGGCCGGTAGCAAGAGATCCCCCCCGATGACTGCAATGAGGACCCGGCTCTCCGGCCTCCTAATCCCACGGGGGAGTACCGGCCAATGCGCACGCCGCCTCCGTCGAAACAGTGCAGTAACCGCGTATGGCTCTAACCGCTAATATCCTCTGAGGGCGCCAGAGGCGCGCCCTATTCCGGGTTGTCAGAGCCTTCGCCCACATCGGTGCACCGTACAGTGCCATTGACTTGATACTTCATCTGGGCCTGAACCGGTACGAGGACCGAATCGACTGAGATGGAGGCGCGGGGGTGTGGACTACGACAGGGACGATTACGAATACTTATTACAGACTATCCAGCTAGGTAGGTCCAACTTTGAAAAAGAGGTCAATTGTCGAATCCCAATTGGCTGGGCAGCGTCCGGGAAGTTTTTTTTTATGTTATAGGGGGCAGACGAGCAGACGGGTCACCTGATGGAAAGTGACTATCGCCGCCCATGAACGTCTGCAACTCAGGAGTCACAAACGCGTTTCCGGCCTTTTAGGAAGGAGTACGCTCTTTTCTTGAAGGTTTGGTTGGATGTGCGGGGCAAAAAGTGTCTAGAGAAGCGCACAGTAATGAGGATGAAAATTTTGCCGTGTGGAACGATCGCGGAAATTTGCGGCTGGTATTAGTCCGAACAATTCTAGTGATGTGCCGGATCGTTAACAAAGTATATCCGCGGATACAGATCTGAATACAGATTTTTGGTGTCAAGATCCGCGGATACGGATACGGATCTTAAGTTTCTTACTCAATCGGAGCCCGTGACCTTGATAGTTGTCGCCACTTGACGCTTTGCCGTTGATATTTAAATATTTCATTATTTTAATAAGCTAATACAAAGATGTTTGATTGATCTCATTATAAAGATAGCTCTTTTAGTACCTACGACCTGCCTAGTTGATTTAGTATAGTACGATAAATGATTGCAATACAAAGGTGCCAAATATTTGTTTTAGGAAATAAAAAGTAATCTGAACAGAATTCAAGAGTTTTTCATAGCTACCTAATAACCATTATTCAGGGTTATTTTAAATTTACTGAAAACCTCTGAAGTGCATATTAGTAACATTATAAACAACAACTTTTCTTCTGGACTAACACCGAAAACGAAAGAAAGAAAATTGTTTCTCCATACAAACTAACAACATTTGATTGGTCATTTAAATGGAAGACCAATTTTTTTTCATTTTGACCTTGGCCAGAAAAAAAGTTGCTGTTTATAGTGTTACAAACACATACCCAAGAGTTTTACAGTGAATACAAAATCACCTATATAGAATTTCATCTATGTAATATGTATTGAAAGATCCGCCAAAAAAGTCACGGATACGGATACGGTTACGGATCTCTCTTCTCCCTTGGATATCCGCGGATACGGATACGGATATCCGGCACATCACTAAACAATTCCTCGGAGCACTCTCCTTGATATATGCGAAAGAGAATGCAGAGTACAGTAACAGTATCTGTACTGTTACTGTACTCTGCATTCTCGTATTGCCACATCGTAACGCCAAGGGATCGAGCCGATCGGAGATGTTTGGGCTATCGACGATTCGAGTCGCTCTTCGTTGGATGCGGTCCAGAGGGAGAAGCTGGTACTGAGGTGCCCCTGCTTAGAGATGAGAACAGTATTCCATATGCGGCCAGACTTGCGCCTTAAAAAGCTGAAGGCGGTGAGCCGGAGTGAAATACTTCCTCGCTCTGTTCAGTACACTGAGCTTCGTGACATTTTCTCGTTTCAAATACCGCAGTGCGTCAAGACGAAAGTTTATGACCAGTGTGTTACCAGTGATGACTTATGGCACACAGACGTGGTAATTCACAATGGGCCATAAAAGGAGGGTCAAAATCACCCAAAGAGCAATGAAGAGGGCAATGCTCGAAGTTTCTCTGAGTGATCGAATCAGGAATGAGGAGACAAGGTCACTGAAATTGCCCGGAGAATTGCCAAACTTAAGTGGCAGTGGGCGGAGCACACTGTTCGCAAAAAAGACCATGGGACCATTTGGACAAACGGTGGCGATCACGTACCTGATGTTGGAGCGTGGAAAGCCGTTGGATGCGGACATCACAGAACTGGATGTTGTGGACAGCTTTAGGGGAGGCCTATGTCCAGCTGTGGACGTCCTTCGGCTGAGATGTTGATGATATACGCCTAACAGAGGCGATCCCTGTAGTCGTAGACGTCAAAATTACACTTTGCCAATGACACCGCTTTTCTGTCGAACTCCCCTACCTCATCACATCAACAGTCTTAAATAGTCCACTGCTGGAAATAGGCTGCACATACAACAAGTACTTTTGAATACTCAAAGACTTCAGTAGTACCTTGATTACCCAATGAAGTAAGTATAATGTGACTGACGCGAAGTTAACATTTAAATCGTAAATAACATTACTGACGACGTTATACGACGTTTCAAATTCATTCGTTGTAAGTATTATTATTGTTGTATAGATTACCGATTACCTATAAAATCGCTGTTTTTTTATCAGACGAATGAAAAAAAAATCCTGAACTTCGTCATTTTTTAAATTCTTTTATTTTTTTTTATGGAAGAAAGGCAAACGAGCAGACGGGTCACCTGATGGAAAGCGAAAGTGGTGAGGATGAAAATCTTGCCGTGTGTATTAATCCGAACAATTCCTCGAGCACTCTCCATGATATATACGATAGAAAATGC